AAAGTTTATTTTAATTATTTTTTAAAACTTTTCCTTCTTTTTAGAACATTCTGAATTTTGATTTAAAAATCCTTTTTTCTCTTTGAATCACAGGAATTAGTAAAATAACATATACAATTTTTAGCACTTTTTTTTTCTATGACACAAATTAATTTGGAAAATCTTGCAAAAATAAAAATAATTGTCGGATGTTAATGAAAGTTTCAGAAACTATTCATAGATGATCGAAATTGTTATAAATATATTTTTTTATTAAAGTCATGGCAGAAATAATTTTTTTATATTTATACCCCGCCCCATAACTAATTTTATGAAAACTCTAGAAATTCGATCGAGTCCACTTTAGTAATTACAATAGTTAAAAGCACAAGGCTTTGAGGAATGCAAATCATGTTTTTTTTTTATTTTGGTATCAATTGGACCTCCCCCCCCCCACCTGAAAATCAGTTCTGAATTGTAACATGCAAAACTGAATACAACAAAGATATTATTTAATTTCAAATACTTTTATTTGCTTTTAGTTGTTTTTATGAATATGAACAATATTTTCTGAAAGCAAAAAATTTTTTCGATGAAAAATGAATTTTAATTCAATTATTTTTTATTTCTTTAATTATAATAGATCTTCAAATTTAAGTTGTTAAAATATTATAAAATTAGTATATTATAAATTTTTTCGTTTTTGTCTAATCAGAAGACCCGCAGTAATTAAGAAATGTAATTTTGTGTTTATAATCGGGCTGTAATTATAAAGTACGGAAGACCAACCAGAGTACAATTAAGTTGCGTTATATGAAGTAAGCATTGTTCTCCGCTGTTAAGGCCTTTACTTTTGCGAAACACTTGTGGAGAAGTTAATTTGATTTTTCAATTTCAACTGAGAAGGGTACCTACAAGTATCAGTATCATCTTATGAAATTTATATGATCTTATTTTTATATTAATCTCAGTTATGACATTTTTCCATAAATGAAATATCAAAATTAATAATAAAATGAATGGAAATACAAATAACACAGTAAAATATTGTAAATGTACATAAAATTATAGTATTTTATGTACACTTCTGATAAAATTTCACAAGAAAGTTACCTATAAATTAATTAGATACCTTTCTTATGAATTTTAATCTCACTCTCAACAGTCTTATTTTAATTTCTTTATAATATATTTTCCATAAAGCATCATAAACGTAAAGGTGAAAGCTAAGTACAAAAAAAATTAGAACGCTGAAAGTTTTCCCTAAAAATAACGAGGTAAATAATTTGTTCACTTAAATCTAAATAATTTCACTTTTCTTCTTCCGTAGAACAAATTATCCTCACGTAATCCGTCAATATGTTATTCATCAGCTGTCAAGTGACGCGTAAGGTTATGACATGCTTTGTTTTATTTTCAAATTACATATTTTCGGTGCAGAAGCTAAGTTAAGCTTGGTTCAAAATATTTTAAATAAACATTATAATTTCTGATTTTCGTAAAATAAATATTCAAAAATGATAATTGATTTTTAAAAGAATTTCAAACTGAGATTTTCATTTTTTTTTTATAAAATGGAAAAAAAATGGTTGCTTTGATCGATTAACTGTCAATTTTGCTGACTCAAAAAAAAAAAAAACAAGTTTTTTAACGAAAATTTCGGATGTGCTAGGAACGATTAAAAAGTGTAAAAAAAAATAACCGCAAATACTTTCCTCTTAATAATAACATAAATATTTAAACAATAAAATTTTGTTTTCAAGTTTGGCGTCTTTTTCATCATGCTATGCTCTTTTTTAGCGATCTCGTAGCAGTACCTAAGTAATGTAGCAAACTGTATCTGCCCATAAGGAAATTGTCTAGGTTTTATACGCAGACAACTTCGTGTCATGACCTATATTAAAAAGTTGGGGTTTTTTTCCGGTGACTTGGAATTTGGCGTAGATTGGTTAATCATGGCAAAGCCCACAAATCTATGTTTTTAAAGTATTCTGCTTTTGAAATTAACTTAATCTATCATACGTCAGTAGTTTAACATCCCCCGAAGAGACACATTTATGGTGTCGAAAAATAATTGCCATTATGTAGCGATTTTTAACATGTTTTAATATCCTAAAGTGAATAATATTTAGCTCTACTCTGTATTGAGCCCTCTTTTAAATTAAATATTACGTACAGTGGAATTATACTCCATTTGTTCTCATTTTACCTGGATATATATATATATATATATATATATATATATATATATATATATGTATGTGTGTGTGTGTGTGTGTGTGTGTGTGTGTGTGTGTGATTAAGTGCTAAGAAACATGCATATCTAAGAGTAAATGTGTATGTTTATATTGCAAGTATATAGACATATATAACACCATAGATGTACTGGTTTCGCTTAAGTGTGGGAATTAACATTTCGACACTGATTTATGATCTGATTCAACAAAAGGCCATACTAGGCGCATTAATGTCCTCCTATTTTATTCACTATTATTATTAACTGATTTAAATTTTATTCAATATTTCTTAGTGGATATCTCCAACGAAAATCTTGTATCTTGCAGAAAGATATTAATTAAACATTTAAAGCGTGAATTCTCACATGTTTTTCTTACTTTCACGACAAACATCATAGCCCACATTTGCGTCTTGTAAAGAAGAAAAACTTTTAATTAATGTTCCATTAAACGGATACGCAACCAAAATTTTTAATTGAACCGACAAAAACCACAATGGTCGCTATCTGGCTTATCTGGATATATATATATGTATGTATGTATATATTGTGTGTATTTAGGCAGCATTTTTTCATTCATACATGTTTCATTAAATAATATAGACAAGTGTTGTCTATTTATTTTATGTAAATTCTTTTCATAACGTCTGATAAGCTTAATAACGTTATCATTAAACGAAGAAAGAAAATCACAATATTGATACATATTTTTTAATTCAATCTAAGCTTTCGGCTTACATAAGACATTATCAAAGATCTCAATTACTGTACAATATATTAAGCAATACACGGACAATTCAATAATGATAGTCTGTTTCTCTTTACATGGATGATTTCCAAGCAACGATAAACACGTGCATATAAGACGCTGAAAGTGTGTGTGTGTGTGTGTGTGTGTGATTAAGTGCTAAGAAACATGCATATCTAACCGTGAATGTGTATGATTATATTGCGAGTGTGTAGACATATATAGCACCGTGGATGTACTGGTTTCGCTTAAGTGACTTGACACTCGACATTTTGCCACTTTATAAACTGATTCAAAAAACCACCATTTATAATCTGATTCAAGAAACCACCATTTATGATCTGATTCAAGAAACCACCATTTATGATCTGATTCAAGAAACCACCATACTAGGCGCGTTAATATCTTCCTTGTATGTGTTTTTAAGTACGTAACCGTACAGATTATACTGTGACGAGTTTCGAAACCGATTAGAGTTATAAGGACACCACATGTACCCCTGTATTCTAGGGTAGCCTGACAGGTCAACCCTTTACAGGCTTGTTTTGAGTTCATGTCTTTCTTTTCACCCCCTTAAAGCAAGAGAGCTGAATCCGTGATTCCACAGATTGCATGCAGTGCTTTAAAATTTGTTTATGCTGTGTGTGTGTGTATATGTACGTGTGTATATGTGTATGTGAATGAAGATTTAAATGTTTTATGTGTATGTACGAATCTGAACGTAGAAAATTGCGTTAACGATTTTTTGGAGATAATAATTATTCCAGATACAAGTCCTAATATTTAATCCATAGCTAGAGGGGGAAAAGATAGATCCGTACCAAGAACATTTGCGCTTAAGTGAATGTAGCCTATGAGCTTTGTATGCTCAAGAGGTGTGCATAAAGTGATCGAGTCTTACGGGTTTTTGTGGGCGTGTACTGGTTAGGGTGCTTCCCCCGTCCTGAACTCTGGATGTCTGTGCGCAACGTGTCTTTGTAAATCTGTGTGTGTGTGTGTGTGTGTGTTCATTTGCACCAATCCCTGCCTGTGTACACTCATGCCAGTGCATGCCTCCTTACCTAAAAAGAACTCAAGAAGCACCTCCGTGTTCTGAGTGGGTGGAAAGGAGTGTTTCTGTTTGGCAAACAAACACGGTACGTTGTCAGGTAAGGAGGATAGAGGCAGTGACTATATTTTGTCATTAATTCATTCACTGATGAGTGATATCATTCAACTGGCCTCGCTTCTGTCATTTCGGCTTTAAGCCTGGCCCTGTACGAATGCTGTCTTCTTATGTACTTCCATAAAAAATAACAGTAAAAAAAAAAAAAGCAAAAAAACTTCGTTCTTTAAACTTCAAAAGAAAAAAAAAGGAATGGAAAAAGAAGCACCTACAACTGCTCCTCATCGGAAAGAAATAATATTTCTCTCCCCTGTTCCAATGTGAAGAAATTTACGACGTACAGAGACTAGTTAATGGCAATCATTTAGTTTCTTTCTTCGGATAAAGGCTGTCTCACGGAAAAATCGATTCTAGTCAACTTTCAATGGACATCTGTTCTCCCAGTTATCAAGCGATGCCCAGGTAGGTACTCTGTCTATATATATATATATCACTTGCGCGCAAACACAAGTTCTCTCCCCACTCTCTTTCTCTCTCACACATACACACACAACTCTCTCTACACCTCTCTCTCCCCTTTCTCCCTGTGTATAGAGAGATACGAGTGGATGGTTCAATAACTCTCTAGTTTGATAATTGCTAATTGCCTAAGTTATTATATGCAATATTTACTGTGATCTGATTGGTTGATTCATTTCCTACGACTAATCAAGCCTTTTCAAGTTATTGAAATCCAGATATTTTTTTAGATTGTATTTTTTTTTTTTTGTTTAGTTAATAATAGTTTAGTGGTACCCGTTTTACTAATTAACCCATAGAGGTGAGAGAGGTGTATTTGCGCGGAAGTGAAGTGAATATAACGAACCCAACAGTTATTTGAACTCGGCTCTCTGATTAACGATTCCGAGCCATTGTCCATTACACATCCACGCTTACAGTTCCTTGTATTCCAAAGCAGTCACCCATCTCAGTACTGACCAGGCTCGACGATGCTTAACTTGGCTGATCGTACAGGAACCGGTGTTGAGCCCCATATTCACTGCGAAATATAAAAAAATATATATTCAAAAAGTGTGGCTGGTCTTGCACGAAACCTTCACCACTATAATCAAATCTCATGTGATGTTGTCGGGCTGTCGATTTCCTGGGAACTGATCTGCTTGACCCTCATACGTCGAATCGACGGGAGAGTCGACTATATATATATATATATAGTCTCATCGTTGTTCCTAATCTTCTTAGAACTTGCTCGTATCTCGCATGTTCTGTCTGTTATTCACAACACTTGAATGTCAGGCTATGTCTCAGTTGTTTTAACTCTTTTTTTTTTTTATGAAAAAATTGCCCAGCATTCACGGTAATCCCGGGAATTAAGATAAACTACATCCGGCGGCAAGGCCTCTGATCAAGAGATTGGAGGTTTTGAGGAGAGTGGAACCTCCTCTGAAATGCTGTTATTCCCAGGTCCATCCTGACCCAAAGTGGGTACACATGTTAGGATCCCATTTTGGGAAAAATTAATGAACTCCCCGAAAAAAAACCCCAAAAAAACACTAAGTATATAAATACATTTTTCTAGTAAAAATACCAGCAATATATTCTTATATAACGTCACAAATAATATCTATTTATAGTAAGATTATAAAATTATGTTTATCGTAAAATTACGAATACATTTTTAAAGCAAAATGGCCAGCAATATATTTTGTATTGGGATGACAAACAATACATTTTATCTATAGTTGAAGGCTTACAATTGCGTTCATAATATTTAGATTTCGACATTAAATATCCCATAGAGGTTGATGGGCGGCTAAACAACATCAACCAACAGCGAGTATTCACGGCCATATAGGAAAGTAAGTAACTTATCATTCTTTTCTTTGTTTCTAATGCATCTTATTAATCTTCCTCTCTATTAATGGCAGACTCAGTTGGAAAGCTGAAATAACTAAGATAGAAAAAGATAGCGAGAAAAAATCACTATTAACAGAATTCAAAAACTCAAATTAACCTAAGATAATGAGCTTTATATTACGGACGCTAAAATCAAGCAGGTACAGAAATTTAATTATCTTCGTAGTGTAATAACAGAAAATGTGACACAGAATTTCGAAGACACAGAAAGATGCCTTTCAGAAACTAAGTAAAGTACTAGGACATAATAAAATGCCATTATAGACAAAGAAAGTTGAAGTGCTATGTAATATTTAATTTCCGATATGGTAAAAAAGGCTGAAAATATCTTCCCACATGAAAAAACACGAGGTGACATTGATTGATTGATTTTTTTTTACAGCGTATCAACCATTTGTGAATTATTTAAAGCCGAAACATCATAGCTTGTATGAATAATACTATTTTTCGAAGGGATATTGCATTAACAATTTTTTGAGAATAAGTGATTTTTCCAGATACAAGTACTACTATTTAACCCATAGGTGGGGGTTAGATTAATCCCTTCTCCAAGAGTACTCGAAGTACAGATATGTGGTTGGACCAAAGGATGCTAAGAACACAATAAACTGAACATTTGAAAATGTTTTATGGAAAATAGGAACTAAAATTTCACTTATACTTACAATCAGAAAGAGACAGCTGAAATTTTGGGGACCCATAATGAAAAGAGAGGGCGTGGAGAATTTGACATTCACAAAACATGAGAAACAATGGGAAACATTTGATAACCTACTTAATGTGTTTGTGTGAACAAGGACAAAGAGAGATGGTAAAGATCAAAACTTTATGGCAGTCTTGATTGTCTACGACCTAAAAAGTCATGGCGCATAAAAGATTCTGAAAGATACATTTTTGTTATTACTATGCATTTTCGAATTTCCGTCTCACTTCCCAATTTTCTATTATATTGAATAATAGTAGAATTTCCACACATTTTGATGTCCCCGATATATAACTCACATACTGCGCAGTCCATTTTATCTCAATTAACAGTCATTTCATCGCGCTTTCTCAACCGCCATATCCAATTGCACAAACTTACCAAATGCTACTTTCCGCTGTTTTTCTCGTTTTCAGTTGGTCCTGTGAGTGTTCAATTCTCCAAGTCTTCTTTCCTTATTATGTGTCCCAAAATCTTCAGCTGTCTCTTTGCTGTTCGTATTCTTCTTAGAACTTCCTCGTTTCTCACATGCTCTATGTTATTCTCAAAACTCGTCGGTAAAACTATAACTCATTTACTTTATGTCTATTTTATGACGAAATTGTAGACATCACATAGCAATCTAGCCTATTTTGCTTATCATGATATTTTTCGATTATTAAATACCTTAAGGCAAACGAGAAACCATTCTATTATCTCACTTAAGAACAATCATGAGAATTCACTGTTCACAAGAAGGTTAAACTGTGCCATCAGCTTTCTGAATTTGATCAGGTGATGCTGGACGTTTATATTCGTGACGTTGTGAGTGTGTCGGGGGATGTTTGCTTACGTACAAATGGGTGGAGCTATTTTGTTCGTGTTTGTGTGGGCGAGGAGCATTTGTTAATTCTGAGTGCTTTGCGTCCTTTGTTTAAAGGAAACAGTCGATACTGACAAGGGGTAAAATACAATAAAATGGTTGACGAAAGTAATATTTATTTTGTTATAAAACAAACGTGTGGCACAAGGCCAAAAGGGGGATAGAGGAAGGTTGGTCTTCAATTTGTCTTATCGTAAACTGAGCTAGCCACGATTACTGATCCAAATATAATGACAGTATTCCTTACACTAAAAGAACATATTCTTACCATTCTTCCTACATCCACCATAATTCCTTAAAGTTTCTATGTAGTCCTGACTAGACCCCACAGGTACATTTTGTCTGTGGGGTTAGGGAATAAAAATAATAATATTCAATAATGAAACTACAGTGAATAATTAAAGTATGTGGCATCCAGTGAAGATCGAACTCCCTACTCAGTCGTAATTAGTTTCAACGCACAAGCTCACGAACCACGACATCACGTCGAGCTGCTCTAAAATGGGTGATGAACGTAATTGGACTCGTTCTTCCGCTGAGAATATAATCCCCGGGGGGGTCAGGTCTACTGCTCAGTTTTGCCAAAAGTACCGGTTCTTAGAAGGTCATTTTATTTCTTAAATTTCGGGTGATAATTTTTGTAGATTGGCATTCGTTAGACCTTTTTCAATGCATCTAGCGAACGTCCCCTCCATCCCGAATGTATGCTGTGGGGGCCCTTCACTCTACTACGTCTCAATTTTCATAAGGTCGTATTCGTATAAATACTAATTTGATTCTAACCTAATTATGTATAGTAATGGATCATATTCAACTAGAAAAATTGAAAATAAATACAATGTATCTAAATACAAATTAGAGACATTTCATAATAGATCATTCCATCTTGAATAAATCAACAATGTTTTGAGGCAATTTTTAACATCAACTTTTTAAAAAGTTGAATAATATTAACACAACTATCATTACGGCTAAAACTGGTGAATTTTATATTGCATTTTTTCGAAACAAATTCATGGATTTGGACGAAAAAAGGTCCCAATATGACGTCAAAATCCACAAAAATATTCCATCCTTTATTAGTCAGTTGTCCTTTGTTTAATTTGTAATATATATTATGTAGGTAGAAAAAAAAATAAACGTTTATAAGTTAGCGATGGTCACAAAGTTTGCCAGGAGCCCCCAATCGGTCGGGGGCTCGGGGATAGTACACACTGGCCCTGTATGTATGTATGCATGTATATATGTATATGGGCACGAGTGTTTAGAACATTCGCTTTCTGACCATGAGACCCGGGTTCGAATCTCACCATAGTTGATTTGTCAGAAAGGAGTGTGGCACCTTTGGAAAGTGACTGAAAACCATGCCACGGATTGACGCAAGACTTGTAAGTGAAATTGGGTAGACTGAACCCATTTTGATGGCTATGCTAGCACGAAATCACAAGTCATCGTGATCGAGGGTTTGAGTGTGCTGGCATTGTTCAGATTATTGATCACGCTAGATGACACGCTCACCTTCCCAGAAACTGCTCAGCATAGTTGCAGTATAAATTGCAGGCGGGCTCTGAGGGTGTTGAACAAACACAAAGTAGATGTGTATTCTCAAACATGAGTGAATTGCTATTATTATGTGTCTATATATATATATATATATATATACACTTCCTGTATAAGACGGTAAACTACATCCAACAGCAAGGCTTCTGATCAGAAGGTTTTGAGGAGAGTGGAAACACCTCTTAACCGCTTGTGTTCCCTGGTTCACTTTGATCCAAGGTAATAGCACCTGTCAGGGTCTCAGCTATGGGCAAATAGTCAACTCCCCCAAAAGGGGCCAAAACACTATGAAAGTATGGAAATAGGTTTTAATACCAGCAATGCTTTTTGAAAAAAATTTTACTAGCAATACATTTTTGAAAAAATATTACCAGCAATAAGAATCGTGTCAGCATTAAATAACATATTGAGGCTGATATGCAGTAAAACAAACTAAACTATATATATATATATATATATATATATATATATATATATATATATATATATATATATATATATATATATTGGAGGGTTTAACCGTGGTATAACATTTAACAAATGATTCTAGATTAAGTTATGATTATTAAATAACTTTCTGTCTAAATTTCCGGGATAAGGAGTTATAACTCATCACTTTTTGAAATGTTTTCATCTTATTACAACGTTTCTGTTGTTGTATAATCCGGCCTTCTTCAGGTGTCTTCCAATCCAGGTAGCCGTCAGGTAATTTATTTATTGACGGATTTATTCGTTTTCCGCGGCTTATCAACTCTTTGCAGGTTATTTAAAGCCAAAAAATATATTCTAGATTCTAAGAATATAATTCGGCGATAATAATGGTTTACAAGTCTTACTAATTTCTTCTTTTAATTTCTTCTGCTTAATCAGTAGATTGATTGAATCGATTCGTTTTTTACGGCTTATCAACCTTTTGCAGGTTATTTAAAGCCGGAAAATATTTTTAGATTGTAAGAATTTTTTTTTTTTTTTTTTGGACATAAT